CACATTCTCTCGATGAGAGAATGAACACATCTTACATGAGATTTTGACCTCATTCATTGTCATGTGTTGTTGGTAATACATCTTTAGTGACGTCATGATCAAGGATGAACCCTGTGACTCTCTAAGCGCTCCGTCATATTTTGCATTACAATATATACAGTCAAGCTAATCCAAAAACTTTATATAATAGAATAAAAAACCATGTTCACGGGCATGGCACTCGTTTTCAAGCCCATTACAAAAGAATACATGATAATGAAACTAGCTATCTGTTTGTTTCGCTCCTTATCGCATTGTCATGTGGTTTCCAAATGGAAGTGAAAGCGCAGAAACCAAGATAAACGTATTCTTCTTATTTTACCGCTCACATATCATTTATATGGTGTTTAAACTAATATCCGAGGATAAAAGGATAAAAGTATATCCGAGGATACTGAGTGATATTTAAAGCTTAGAACCTCAAGCGGGAGTTGAACTCGATGGTCTATTGGTAGCACGCGCCCACAGTATGTTTAAAATACAGGTTCCACTTCCGGCTGAGGTCAATGTTTTGCCGCACCACTCAGCATCTTCGAATTTATAGTGGCGGTAATGTTTTGTAAAATGTTTATGGTAGAAGAATTCTTTTAGAAACGTTAAGATGATTAATGTCCGTGGATATAAAATTACGTTCATAGTGGAATAATACTTGTTATACTTTGCCCTTTTCTTTCAATGTGGGAACGCTGTTGTCAGTTCTGTCGAATTTCATTAGAAAAAGTGACAAATCATCTCTAATTTTTCGCAATCTATCATTCTCGTCTGAAGCGTGCACTACTTTTCGTTTCAGTTTTTTTTTCTAAAGTTCCAAACTTTACAGAAATTGTTCCAAGTTGCGTTCAGTTTGCAACAACCCGTGCAGACTGTATGACCCCCAATTTCAACCAACCCCTAACTAAAGTTGAGGTCGGAAAACCAGTTTAGAAGAAAATTCAGTCACCCCTATTCGCCTAAGATTTTGCAGACAACAACGCGTTAGCAGCAAATTGTTACTATCTATTGGAACTTTATGCTTTTCCATTGTTCGCATCGCATCGCGCTAAGTTCTAGGGTATTCGTACTTTAATTGAAATCATATAGCGGTAGACTGACGTCTTTCCGACTAAATTCTTTTATAATTTGACTAACTGACCATGACATAGTGATAGATGAGCTTTATTTGGCTAAAGTTTTGCAATATCTTCGTTCTCTTCAGAGCCGACGATTCGAGTCAATTTCCTACAGTCATTCGTCCTTGTTGATGTCATCATTTTCGTTGTCATTCCAGTAGAATCTTTTCTAGTGAAGCACAACGAGGACGAATGGTTTTGGACGATTGACTTCAACTATCGGCTCTGAGGATGACGAAGACGTCGAAACATCAGTCGAATAAAGTTTAATTATGGACTTCGTGGTAATAGCTAAATCAGAAACGGAGGTGGTATTCGTTGGTAATGCCAAATTTTCAGAAAAGTCGGTTTTCAAAACGTGACCACAATATATCTCGGCAGTAGCACCCTGATGGAACCTTCTGTACTCTGTGGTACTTTTGGTGAAGAGGCATGTGACTGCGGGTAAATTGACGATGTACTGCTTCAATCTGATATGGTTACTTTTTCAAACACCTGGACCATCCACCCTCACAAGTTGTGCGAACCGCAGCATCTTATCCCTGATCTTTCACCATGAGGATCCGTATCCCAGCACTTCTACCACTCCACTCTTATCCTAACATGCAACCTCCACAAAGGTCTTCGAACATCTCACGTGCTGCGCCGACTCTTGCTTGAGGATTTCCTCTTCTTCATGAATGACATATAGCGCTAGTCGGGCGAATCTCTTTGCAGTCTTGAAGGAACCCCCTAAAACGTTCCGTAAGGCTTTGTTAACTAACTGCATGAGCGTCGGGGAAAGCGATCGAGCTGGCGTCTTGCTTGCTGATGGCTTGCATCACTAACCACTCGCCGAACTATGATGAGGTTTAGGTTAAGTTCTAATGTAATATTAGTATGATGTAAGCCTATCTACTATGTAGATCACCAACAGCACCGCGGTGGGAACTTTGTCCAGGGCGGGGCATGGAAGGGCGGGGCGCGGCTGTTAGTAAACACGGCGGTGGGCCCGACGTGGTGGCGATGACGTCACACCGCCTGCTGACTAGTGTGCTGTGGTCGACCGCCCCATCGTGCAACGTCGCGTTGTACTTTGTACCCTACGGGAGGGATCGCTCGCTCATACGCTTCTCTCCACGTTACTCCGTCCGCTCGGTTTTCTCACAGTCACCAGCTAAAGTCGCCGTTTTCCTCCTAGAAAGCCCTGGGGAGTTTTTTTGATGATTTGATAGCTGTCAATACTATTCTGAGAGATGAAGACATCTTTTGTAATTGTAAAATAATAATTAATGGCGAAATAATGTAATAATAATGTAATAAATGAACTAGAATAATATAGTAAATCATTGAGCCCTGTGGAGAGTCGTCCTATCAATTTCTAAGGTTTCAATATGCCTGATAATCATTTTTTGAGCCAAGCATGTCAGTGGTCTATCAAAGAGGGCTGACTTATAGAGCCCGATACACGTGTTTCGATCTTGCGATCTCGTCAGTCGCGCAGTTACCGTTTCTCGTCTTTTGCTAATCTCTGTGGGAGCTCCAGTCCCCACACTAAGAGTTAGCGACGACGAACGTTTTACACGTGAAAATCTCACCGAACCTAGAGTGTTGTTTGACAGACCACTGACATGAGTGGCTCAAAAAATGATTACCAAGCATATTGAAATTTGAGCTGTGGTCTTAAGAAAACACTCGAAACGAAAGATATGTTATATTGAATTTCTAAAGTATTTTTTGAATTAATTTCCTTAAATAAGAAATTGTGAGAGCACTCGTAGGCTTCAACTTAAAAAAATTGTAGGACCACAGCTTTGCAGCAGCGCCGACCATTGCTATTTATCGTTTTTTGTCGTTATTTTTAACGCTTTTACTGATCCGTCGTCTCCACAGGGCGCTTTTTTCACTCTGTGGATCCCAGTGCTTCTAGCATTCAACTCGTTTTTTCGTTCTCTGCTTTAGACATCGTAGAAAACTGGTTGATCACGTCTCTTTGCGATCTCGAGGATAGACTGGCTGTGACGTTGCGTAGGAAGTTCGTTGTTGCCTTCTGTAGAGTGTTTGGGGGTGGGGTTCGACACTCACCGCGGCACCACAAACACCACAACCACTCGGCCACGGCGCCCTTGTCTTATTGTTATTGCTACTCAATCATTATTACTGCTGCTATGTTATTAATTGTCATTTTTGTTAGTAGGAGAAGACCTCAATGAGAGACGAGCAGCAATTACGGCACAAGCTGCACAAGCTTGGAAGAGCATTCGCAAAACCCAGCGAGGCTTCGCCAATTATCCTGACGGGACACTTACAGCTTCCAGAAGGGTAATGGAAAATTCATTCACCTACTTGGATCTCTTCGCTAGTCATGTCCTCTACCGTCATATAAATTGAAAGAGGATGAATCTGTCGTTCCATCGGTATCCGACATGATATATCGTCCGTGGAGAACATAATAACACCCGGTCCAGACAAGATTAGACCAGAACACCTGAAGAACCTGCCGCCAGTTCTCATCAACACCCTGACTCGGCTCTTCGCTCGCTGCCTGTCAGAATGCAAGGTTCCCATTCAATGGAAAACCAGCAAGATCGTATTGTTGTTTAAAAAGGGAGACCTTCACGACATAGGCATTTATCGCCCAATCTGCTTACTGTCCGTTGTCTATAAACTCTTTACTCGAGTCATCCTTAACAGGATTGACAGAACGCTGGACGAAAGGCAGCCATGCAAACAAGCAGGGTTTCGAAAAGGATTTAGTACCATAGACCACATCCACACGATCACAAGACTCATTGAAGTTACACAAGAGTACAAGCAACCGCTCTGTCTCACTTTCATCGTTTTGAAGAAAGTCTCTGAAAACAGAAGCGGTTATAAAGGCTCTGGACAATCAGGGCGTCCATCCTCGGTATATAACGATCTTTCGTGAGCTCTATAAAGATTTCACAACCAGAATATCTCCATTCTACAACAATATCGCCATCGACGTAAGGAGAGGGGTTCGACAAGGCGATACAAATTCGCCAAAACTATTCACTGCCACCCTACAAAGCGTCATGCGAACATTAGAATGGGACGATGTGGCAGTGAAAATTGACGTTTTGGCTCAAATAATAATTATGAGATATAGGAAACGAACGGCTTGGAGAACGTTTAAGAGCATCGAAGATGTAGTGAAGAGGACAAAGAACATCCGACTCCGTGCCCACCTTTTCGACTCGGCGATTATCCCTGCCCTAACGTATGCAGCAAAAACCTGGTCGCTACGTAAGCAGAATGAAGGATCACTTGGCGTTATTGATCGCGCATTTGAAAGGTCAATGCTAGGAGTATCCCGTATTTCGCAAATGAGAGAAAGGATTCGAAGTTTCGACCTACTTCAGCGACCAAAGATCAGAGACGCCGTTCTACGCGCCAGGATATCGAAAATAAAGTGGGCCGGACACGTGATGCGCTTCTACGACAACCGATAGGCGAGAGCCGTTACCGTCTGGATTTTTCGGAATATCAAGCGTTCTACAAGAAGACCACCAATCCGATGGTCCGATTTCTTCACGAAAGCGATAGAAGAAAGATATGATGCTCAGTGAATCCCTAGAGCGAGCAGGACCTACTGGACTACTCTTGCACGCGATAGAGAAAAATGGAAGTGTTGCTGGTACCCGCTCGAGTCACTCGACAATCGGTGGGGCGGCAGGTAATACAGGTGATATTGCCAGTTTGCTAGATTAGGTCTTACTAGACGCCTAATGGTATAGCAGCTCTCATTTTTAAATCTAAAAGATTTAATCGTATTCATTTGATTTGAGCGCCATTTGCGGTAAATTGATGTTGCAATAAACCCAATAACGTGGAGTGGTGTGCAAAAACATTTGCGTCAGCAGGGATTCGAACCCAGATTTCACTCTTCAGGAGCGCGTGCTGAGCCGTTGCACTACTGACGTATATTCATGTATAATATACATCAGCATTTGTGTTGTATTGTGTTATATATAGTTTAAAATCTTGTATTCCCCCAGATGGTTCAAGCCTCATCGTGGCTGTGTAGGTCTTCTTGGGTGTCGGAGTTAGAACGACAGCAGTGTTCATCCCCTCCCCCTCTCTTTCTCCCTCTACCCTTCCCACCAACAGGGCCACCCAAGCTAAGCAGGAATCCGACGTTTGCATTGGGAAAGCCCCGCTAAGCTACTAGACGCAAGGTGGTAATCTCCTTCTAAATCACAAAGGGCCGGCGACCTCTCTGATGTGGTGAAGACCTGAGAAAACTCCAGCCAGGCTAACTTCGTGACTCTAGGGACCACATCTGAACCAGCACAGTTTCCCTGTGCTGGGGCTCAAACTATCAGTGAAGGCGCACTGTCCAAGTCCAAGTATCTAAGCATATTGGTACTAGTATTGCCGTTGGGGGCGCCGTGGCCGAGAGGTTGAGATGCTCGTCGTTGTACGCGTGGAACCGAACTCCACTCTCCGTCAACAAAAACATCCCGTAGAACGCCACAGCCAGGCTGCCCTTGAGATTGCCAGGAGACGTACTCGACCAGTATTCTAAGTCTTTCAAGAGAAGACGAAATAGACAAGTGAATTCTAGAAGTTTTACGATCCGCACAATGAAAATTGTGATGAGGGGTCTTGTAAATAGATACATAATATTGCCGTTATTATTACTAATTACTAAGAAAGCGATCTAGCAATTAGTACTATTGAGTCCAAGAATTCCTATGTTTCTACTGCTTTTTCGCAGTGAGATCTTTTCTAAATCTAGCCGCATTTTTGGTACTTTCTCTTATGGTGGCGCCACTTGAGACCTTCGGTAAAAGCGTATTCTTTGCTGTTATCTGACGAATATATGGTTATTTGATAGCTTAAATCAAGTGAATTTCAGAGGTATATTTTATTCCTCATATTGCTTGTTTTTACCGCCGTACTACTCAAAATGGAATTTTGTTTCACAGTGGAAGATTTTTCGCCTGATAAAAGTTTTTTATAACAAAATTTTACCCAATAGATAGAGAAAATCTTTCTGCTTAAGAAAATGTGTCTGCTCTTTGGATTTTAGAGCTCTGCAATTCGCACAAGAAGAATGGGTTTGAAAGGTTTGAGTTTGGAACCCAATATTCTTTGGATCTTTACAAAGCTCGAAGAAGTCCTTTTCGAAAGCTAAATATACCATTATAATCGGAGAGATTTCCTCTATCTAACGATCAAAAGTTCATTACAATAAAACTTTTATCCAGTGAGAAATCTTCGAATGAGAGACAAAATCTTATATTTGACTGGTCACGGCGCCAAAAATAAGCTATGAAAAATCAAACATGCCATTGAAATTCAATTGAATTGAGCTATCGGCAGACTACAGAATAGTCTTGCAAAAGCAAAAAATACAACTTAGAGAATTGAGTGGTGAGCAAAAACACGGCCTCAGGCGGGAATCGAACCCGCGTTTCATCCTATCCGGGGACGCGTGCTCTAACCACTACACCACAGAGGCACATTTGCCCGACCACTCATTCTTCCCGTTCCCGGATAGGATGAAACGTTGGTTCGATTCCCGCCTGAGGCCGTGTTTTTGTTCACCACTCAATTCTCTAAGTTATATAAGTAGCATCATAACACTGCGAAATAAGCAGTAGAAATACTATAATTGCAAAAAATACATTTTTAGCGAAGTCCTCAAGTGCCGCTGCACTTTTAAGCATCCTTTTTTAGAATCGTACCGCATTTTTAAACATCATATTTTACTATAAAAGTCAGATAATGTTGTTGTCAAAAGTCTTTATTCTTATTATGCGAACGTATAACTCAAAATCAATATCAGTAATGCCTAAACCTAAGCCTAAGCCCAAAGGCGGCATGACTTTGGAAAGGATCCTAGCAGTGTTATGATGTTCCATTAATACCTAAGAGAACTGAATATGGGCAAAAATTCGACTTCAGGGAGATACTGAAGAATGACGGTTGGGTAAATTATGGTCTCGGTGGGGTAGTGGTAGCACGCGTCCGCGGTATGGATGAAACGCGGGTTCGACTCCCGCCTGAGGTCGAATTTTTGCCTACCATTCAGTACACTTAGGTATACTTGAATCGTACTATTATAGTAATTTTATATCTACGGTACTAGTTTTACTACTACTGAGATGCTAGATTATTGTATTACTCAGTGTTACAGAGTGATGTGCAAAACTTTAGCCTCAGGCGGGACTAGAACCCGCACCTCACTCTTTCCGGGAATGCATGCTCTATCCGTTACACTACTGACGCCCATTTTGCACATCGCTCCTTTTAATGCTATTGTATTACTATCATTGTATCACTGAGAGCGCATGTGGCGCAGTGGTTAGAGGTGCTCCGCGTCGCACACGAGGTCAATGGTTCGATCTATCGCTGATGGCTCACCAGGCCATCCATCCCTCCGGGGTCGGTAATTGGTACCAGACAGGTCTCAGACTTGTCTGGGAGGATAAGCAGCACTGACTCGGTTCAGCGGGAGGCCACCACGAGTCTTTGTAAAGGCCAGATATGCATTCAGTCACCTCAAACGAAGTTAGAAATTGAAGACGTATGCATAGCGCATCCCTCAGGGATTGATCAACGCCGAGAGCTTTATCCTTTATTCCTTAGCTTTTATTGTATTACTGTTTTCTATATCTCTGTTGGGATCGGATTTCTGTTGAATCTGACCTGGATCCATCCTGTCGTCTGTTTTGTTTCAGGGACGTCTAGGTGTGGCTGCTAGTACTGATCACTGCCGTTGAAGTACTGTTTATAGAATTAAGCCCGCAAGACAACAACTACAATGGCCGAAGCCCATAGTGCCGTCGCTCTTTCATTTACTGGTGGGCATTTTCTCGCTGGTTATTTACTTTTAAAAGACTAAAAGGCATCTTTAATAGGCTAGTGGCACAGTGACATGTTGATTGATTAGGCGTTGAGGTAACGATATTCCTTTCAAAACCTGTTCAAGGAAAAAAACGTGTTCTCTTTTTTTGGAATGTTTTGATTTTTAAGATGATTTATTGAAGCACCGAGCGAGTCAGAAATATAAAGAGGTTCAAAGTTATTTCGAGACTTCGAGTCTGTGCCTTTACAAGATACGGAGGACTTTAACAGAAGTTCCGTTCCACTTGTGATAATGAAAAATCCTTCTTACAGCGAAATTATAGTATCTGTACTGCTTTTTTCGCAGTGTTATGATGATAGAGACTTATATAACTGAGAGAATTGAGTGGTGAGCAAAAACACGGCCTCAGGCGGGAATCGAACCCGCGTTTCATGCTATGCGGGGATGCGTGCTCTAACCACTGCACCACCGAGGCATCATTTGCCCGATCACTCACTTCTTATAGCGCTGTAGAAAAGGACATGAAGTTGTCTTTCACGCGCGTGTTTCTGTTACTCATTTGGTAATTTCTACTCTGTTTACAGAAGATCTCTAGGGAAGATTGTTTTAGATTTGTAGAGGATAATCTGTTCTATCGTTTTGTGATCTTAGGTTTCTTTATTTCATTCTATATTGCCAAATAAATCCGCTAATATGCCTAAGCCCATGCACCAAAGGCATGGGAATGAGTGAAGAAAATCTTGGAGTATTCGAGTTGTATGTTCTGTCTAGAGTCTTCTCAAAATGAAGGAAAAACCCTGGAGGCGATCAATGCACATCCACTGAGTCAAAGCTGTTAAGCAATCTGCTGCTTATCTGAAACTTGAGCTTATTTTTCCTGCTGCAGTGCATTAAAAGGGTCTGTTTGAAAAGCAAGCACAGTACTAAATTTGCCGATATTTACGCTATTGAATGGTCACTAATAATCTAAACAAAGAGCTCTGTTGATGCGAAAATACGTGTGTAACATGCATGGCTCATAAAATGATTATCAGGCATATTGAAATTTGAGCTGTGGTCTTAAAAAAACACTCGAAACAAAAGACATGTGTGTAACACAATTTTATTTTCCTTGTTACCGCACAAGAAAAAAGAAGAGTTCATTATGATGAACACATTTTCGATACTGGCGAGATTTACGCTATCGAACAATTGCTAACGGTCTTAAGGAAAAGCTCTATCCAGCAAAAAATTCGCGCAACAACACGCGTCACTTGTGTAACACAGTGTTATTTTCGCTGCTAGAATGCTGTAGGAAGGTTTTTTTTTCATAAAATTAGTTCAACTTTGAATTATGCTTGATTCAAGCTTTTGAACGACTACTAAAAGTCCAGGGGGAAGTCTTTTTTCAGCGAAAAACATCAATCAAAAAAGCCCTTCTAGATAAAGGAAAAGTACTTATTTTGCTAATTAGTGTTACGGCATATCAGGGAGCAAGGTGATATGCGATGTGTTGATTCGGTCTCCTCATCAGTTCTTTGCAATCAGTCAACAAACGTCTCGAGGAACACCTAAGCTCGGCTATCGAGATTGCAGAGAGAATTATCTCACCACCATTCTACTACATTCACAAGGGACTCAAAGAACCTGAAATGTTTGAAAAATAATCACCAGATCTTTAAAATCTTGGAAGGAATACCCCTTCCAACATATTGTTGACAATAATCGGGGATTTAGTATAATGTCATTGAATCCGAGTACCAAGTATCTGTTAAACTCGGCATTTTTCAATAACAGTTTGTTTTTGCTTTCGCGAGATCGAACCGCGTGTATCGGGCTCTATAAGTCAGCCCTCTTTAATAGACCACTGACATGCGTGGCTCAAAAATGATTACCAGGTATGTTCGAAGACCTTTAAGAAAAACGAATACAAAGAGACGAGTCGAAGTTTAGAAGTGTAGAGATTTTAACAGTTAATGGTGTTAGCAGATCGTGCAAAATAAGATAAATATAAACTTGAAACTGTTAACACTGTAGAGAAGGCTGAGGAACTTGTGAGGTACAGGAGAAGCAACGTACTACATCGCATCAAGGAAACTGTCTTTCGATTCTACACCAGGCGGAAGT